ATGTGATGGTTCTTATAATATCCGTTTTTTTCCTGCCAAGTTTCTATATAGTTTATATAGTCATTTTGGTTGTGTTTTCCTGTCTTATCTTTCAGCTTCACTCACCTGTCTGTTGTTATCAGCACACCTGTACTCTGKGAGTTATCACTCTCTTCAGTACATGTGTACTCTTATTTCTCTCCTAATTTAATAACAGATCTTCTGCACACCCTGCTTTATTGATTTCTAMCTGGTCATGCTAGTTTCGGTTTTCTAGAGTGCCAGATTAGTTATTTTATTTGCTTAAAATCCTGGTTTTCTTATCTGCCTGCATTAAGATTATGTTACACATCTCATGCCAAATTACTAATATTAATAAAAACACTTTCTTTTGCATTAACGATAGAAAATATAATTGGTTGAGTTTTGATAGTTATTTATTAGATTTTTTTAGAGCACTGAYKATGGTAGGRCCTCAGGTGRAGAAGTTTAAAAATTTGGGTGTGTTGTTCACAAGTCATGGTAAAATGGAGCAGGAAATGGATCAACAGATTGGAGCCTCATCTTCAGTAACAAGAAATTTGGTTCAGCCATCTGTGGTGAAGAAAGACTTGAGTYGAAAGGCAAAGCTCTCAATTAACTGCTCTACAATCCAAATCTTCTTCTGTGGTTATGAGAGATGGATCATGACTGAAAGAACAAGATATAAGCAGCCAAAATGAGCTTTCCTCCCACAGAGTGGCTAGGCTCAGCCTTCGAGATAGGGAGCTCTGCAGGGGGGAGCCCAGAGTATATAGAGCCTGCTCCTCTGCATTGAAAGGAGTCAGTTGATGTGGTTCAGACATCTGATTAAATGCTTCCTGGATGCCTCTTTTAGGGGATTTTCTGGTGTTGTACCCCTGAGGAAGACCACGAACTTGTTGCAGGTTTAATAACTGGCCTGGGAACACCTTGGTCCCAAAGGAGGAGCTGGAATGGACAGGRAGATGGTAGTGGAAAGGCTGCCACTGAAAAGGAACTGGTGGTATTTAAATAGACATCATTTAGACAATCAGTTGCAGTAAAAAAAAAAAAAAATAAATAGTGGAAATGATGTAGCCTACTACTAAAATAACTGTCTATATGCATCTTTTAGGCTTTCTCCAACTATTCAACCAGTGGCTAAAATAATACAAAGCATTATTTTTATTTTATTTTATTTTATTTTATTTTATTTTATT